TAAGGGGCGGAACTAGTCGTTTAACTAACGCTGGCTCTGTCGGGAAATTTTTGATCTGTTCGGACTTGGGAGCGTCAACAGTTACTGTAAAAATAAGGAAGTTCTCTGCTAATGAGGTGTTAAACAGGGAGGTTACATAGATTAGAGGTAAACTTCCCGTGATTCTTTTTGATCCGTTGGATTTTTGTTTCACCTGACTATGAGATGTGAAAAAACATCGGACAGTAGGCGATAAACAATTGCGTCAGAAACGGCCAGTCCAATAAAGTTTTTATTCATCAAGCCATTCAATCGAAACGATATCACCGATTTCTGCCATACAAAGTCGGTGATATCGTTTCGAAGGATATAGTAGATTCCAAATAACTCCAAAGTGTTATACAGCCAACCTAATTAGTGGAGCTTCCAGTAGATGAATTGGTTTAAGGCCTTCTGTGCTCGGACTTACCGTCCCCATGACCGCTTTATTTACTGATCTCGCAATCACTGCGAAATTCACTCATCAAAGGATAATGTGTGTAGCTCCGGGGACGCCATGCTACACCTTATTTATTCGTGTAAATTTAGGTAATTTCTTTGCCAGCTATTTTTAACATCACCTCTGACATGAATGCCTTACTAGAAAAATGAAATTTCAGCTGTGAATGAAATTTAAAGCTCTCCACTCTCAAAACACTTCCCCAGGTGGTCCTACCGGTAAGGAGGCGTCAGGTGAGCGATCCGAGTGTAACCTGGAGTATGCATCGCTCCAAAGCACGGACCCACAACAAAAGGACTTCAATCGACTGCAGTCGAATGTGCAGCTTCTCACTCACATTACCGCAGCGGCACTGGGGCGGCGCGCGCGACCGATTCTCAGCGCTCTTTTGTGCACGTTCTCAATGCGTGACACCATGTGAATGAAGAAGAACTGTTCACACTCTCCGGTCGAATTCGATTACTATGGCACCTTCATTCGCCTGCTTGCACCTGCTCCAGAGACGACAAAGACGTCGCCAGGTGCATATCGCTCTATTTTATGAAGCGCAAACTTGGTGCATCGGTTTGTTTGAGTGCGTCCGTATCAGGGTGAATAACGGTCGAGGAATTCCTCGACCATCGCTCTCTGCTGTGCGAGAGTAGTGCCGAGAGTGAATGTACGCGCGGAGAGCACAGACGGCTCGCGGGTGGCGAGAGTGAATGTCCGCGCGCGAGAACGTAAAGGATCAGGCGAAAATCCTCGACGTGCCGTTGAGGAATCCTCAAGCAATATTCACCCTGGTCCGTATTGATGCCGATCTGTCGGTCCGTCCGCAAAATTTCCTTTTTAGTTCAGAAGGGGCGTTTGAGCGCTAGGATTAATGAACCTCTGGAACTGGGGAGCTTGCAGGACTTGCAGTGGCAACGTTTGGCATGATAGTGATGACACCCTTGGCCATTCCACATGGTTTACGGACTACTTGATTTTTCCTCAATGGTCCTGCCGCGATGGCTAGAGCACAGACGATTAGAGAACGGGTGAATGCCCTAGGACTAAGCCTTGGAGAGGAGAGGGACCCGCGAGAGAGCGCAGAGGCGGTTTAAAGGGCTGAGTTCAAGTAGTCCGTCGACCGTACCAGCACGTTCATGCCAGCCGGAACACAAGGGGTGCAAGGGGGGGGGGGGAAGGGGGGGGGGAAGGGAAAAAAGGAAACTGGCCGCTAAACAAGATTCATTCTTATACATACGATTCGCCCCCCGATTCGTATTTCTTTTGTATTGCCTTTTCTTGAAAAAATAGGATAGTTTACTGCATTTTTGTAATTCGTGTAATACTGGCGTATTTTGGGAGCGCGCGATCGCCGACAGGTTCTGGAGGGGCGTGATGGGGACCTGGGTTGCCAATGGTACGCCGATAGGTAAAAAAAAAGCAGAGAAATTCGTCAACAAACGCAAAACGGAATCCTCTTGTATGACCAATGATTTTCGGCTCATGGAGCAGCGACTAAGACGGCGGACGTATGACGAGTTACCGCGATGCATTGTTGTGGCACCATGACAATCACGGCTCTAGTCGAGCGCTCGCCGCCAGTTACGCTGCTGGCACGCACAGTTCACCCACATACAACTAAACCAGTGGGCGGAAGCTTCTAGGGCGGAGCTTTTTATGCGTGCTCAGCAACCGTCGCCAGCTTCCGTCGTGAAGCGCCACACCTCGCTTTCTTGGCAGCTGAGTGACTGCTTCATATGGTGCCCATAGTTCTCCCAGCGCGCTCATTCTTTACCTTCCTTCGTTCTTATACTCTGTAACAAATTGTGAGGTGATATCTTTATTCAGTACCCGTTTAAAATCTATTTTTACATTGGGAAATTGCTATATTCAGGCTCGTCAGAGAACCGAAAAGTTCACTGGTAAAGCAGTACTCTCAATATGAGTAAAGAGATAGTATCTGGGCAAACAGGCAGATATATTAGATATCAATCCAATGTGAAAGCATAGAAATCGGTCGCTATCCACCAGTCATCAACGATATGTCACCGTGTATGTGTACCTGTAAGGCAGCGCTGCTATTAAGTTGAAAATCACCGGTATTATTAAGAGGCCATGAATCATGCCGATGAGCACGACGAGAAGCATGCACTGGGCAAAGATCTGAAATGTGGTTGCCTTTTCTTAGAGGAACTGCAAAGCCTTGAAATTTGACTGGCTCACCTTTGACATGTGTAATTGGACAAAGAAGAAACTGAGAACGCAGAGCGTTGTGGAAAGAGACGCTTGCATGATGGGAAACCCAACCGCAGCGACCGTCTTTTTCAAACGAGCTTTCACACAGTTCGTTTCCTTCCCTAAATGTATGTTTTAATAGGAGACATTTGAGCAAAGAAGTGGGATAAAAGTGCGAACCTGTCTGATAGTAATGGTAGCTAATGTGTGATGGTATGTCAACAGAGAAGCCGATACTCATCACTGTAGCCGACATCATGATCGGGTCCAGTTCAGCGCCCATAAGCGACATGAGACCAAACACTCCTGAAGAAAAGGGGCTGGAGGTGTCACAAATTGGTAACTACAAGTGGAAAGATTCAACAAACCTATGCTGGTGCTGAGAATGCTGAGTGTGGCGACGAACAGCGTAGGTGGATGTGAGATGAAGAGAACGGCGACGACAAACATCGAGATGAAAGTGAAGAGCGCTGACTGCATCGTTGTAGGGACCATGGTCTCGACCAAATCCAGAAACATGGCGTCTTCTTCGTAAATCGATACTCCCAGATCAGAATACTGTAAACCATCAATAACAGCGATTACTCTCTGGGAACCGTAGTGAACAAACGTACTTTGTCGGCGAGAGCTCTCCACTGATTCAGAAGTGCTGCTCGATTTGACCATTCTTTAAGTTCCTCACCATGGAAAGCCGTTGTGAAGAAAAACCTTGATACCTTGTACTGGCTCCTGAAAAAGGCGCTTGTGAGTTCAGGAGGTATAATTCAAAAGTAGTCCACTATGAAGACAGGTGGATCGTTTCCTCATCTGGATATGACATATGTAGCTGACAAAACTGGAAGATGGTCCCTTTCTCGTGGTTAGAAAGTAGCTGTATAGGGCGCCAAGTCTGGTTGTTTCACGGTAAGAAGTGTCTTCTATCTTCATACTGTCGACTCTAGGCAGACGCTTATTGTTGAGTTTCCTAACAGGATTGGCTTCGCAACGTGCACAAGCATACGAAGCACATTCGGAGAAAGGTGGGAAAGTGCGTACGTAAAGAAGTAGAAACTTTAAAGGCAAACCCCGAGATTAGCCCGACTTGTGGGAAGGATACCGCGAGGGAAATTGTAAGGTCCCACCTACCTAGATCACTCCAGCTTCGCCGCAAAAATTGCGCGGTTAGGGCGCTAATCCTTACGGGCCTGCAACCATCGACCCCCGTTGCAACGCTTCCCACCCACCTCGATATCGGCGTGATCTCTCGCGTGTTTTGTCTTCTTTGACCGCCCTGCCTCGCCATCGTTCCACATCCGACCTTTTTGAAGGTTAAGGCCTTAATTTCAGCGATCCCAAAGATTTCTCTAGCTTTCCTTTCCACTTTCAGGCGTCCCGCAGCTCAGTCATCACTACGAAGCGCTCTTATCACCGGTTTCATACCCGGGGTTTGCCTTTAAATATGCAGAGAGAACCCTAAGCCCAAACCATTCATAAATGTTGCTCGAAAAAGAATTCCACGAGAAGGACGAAGGTTGAAGAAGGAGAAACTAGCC